CGGAGATCACCTAGCAATAGTACGGCGTTCACCAATGAACGCGCCGCTATGAGTGTCAAGGGAATTAGCGAGTTAGTAGTTGAATACAAAGGCTCTGAGGAAGATTTTGATAGATGGAAAGTACAAATTAACCTACTAAGGGCCACGTACGAATTGGATGAGAACGCGTCAAAAATACTAATAGGATCCAAACTTAGAGGCAAAGCATCAGAATGGTATCACTATCAATCTGATAATATAGCTATGACAGTGGATGAGCTGCTAACAGAAATGCAGACCATGTTCGAAAGACCGAGAGGACGACTGGAATTAAGGAAAGCGTTTGAGTTACATAAGTGGCAGAAGGACGAGTTATTCAATGAGTACTGTCATCACAAGCAAATACTGGGAAATCGAGTGCCAATAGACAAAGAAAAAATGATGGATTATATTGTCGATGGAATTCCTTCGGAAGCATTACGTAATCAAGCCAGAATGCACCGGTTCTCAACGTGCAGAATATCATGCAAGCATTCAACAAAATATCTCTGAAAGCAGAATCAGGAACATCGCGCCAAGAAAAGTACGTGACCAAGGGGACCACGAAAAAGCAGTGGAGTGGACCTAAAGAGAAAAATAACGAAGCTGGCGATAAACAAATTCAGTAGCAGAGGTCCCTCAAAGTGCTATGAATGTAATAACGTGGGTCATTACGCTGGAAAAAGAATGCCCCTCGAAGAAATCAGAGTGGAAAACAGAGAAAAGAGAAAAGAAGGTCGATGCAAATAGCAAACCAGTTGGATTGGTGGAAGAAGAAGCATCAGAAGAGTCGCCAACGGACGAAAAGCAAGATGAGGAAAGTCACTCAGAGCAGGAAGACATCGGGTTCGTCGACCTAAGGAAAGAAACAACAGACGAATTCCAGAGAGTGGCCGAAGTAGAGATCGGAGACATACAACAGTCCATAGACAGGGCGAGAATAGACACCGAGTGCCCAATTAGTTTGATCAAGGCCAGTTGCATAGACGAGAACTTTATAAAGAAGGCCGGAGAGGAGTGGAATCGATACTGCGGTATAAACAAGTCCAAGCTAAGAGTAATAGGAGTAGTAAGGACGAATCTTAAAGTAGAAGACGATCAATGTGAGGTAACATTAGGTGTAGTACCAGACGAAACGATGTCAACGCCGTTACTGATAGGTAGAGATGTACTAAAGATACTCGGGTATAGCTTAACTAAGAATCCTCGGTACGATAAAATAATGACGGAATTACTCAATATAGAAACAGTACAGTATAGCGCGATTGATAGGGTTCAGATTAATCAATATATTCCGCAGATTGATATACAGGGTGTCCCATTTTAAATGATCCAACCAAATATCTCGAAAACTAAACCCAGTAGAC